AATACCTTTAATTTATTTAAATTAAAAATTAATATGAATAATAAAAAGGTATGTAGAACAACTTGCCCAAATGGAACTTATCAAGATTCAGGTAGTGGTCTTTGCAAGTAATGTGACTTCTCTTGTTCTCAATGCACAGGTCCTAGTAATTCATAATGCAAGGCTTGCTAATTTTTAACATATTTGAGCAATGGTTCGTGTGTTACAACTTGCCCAACTGGATAATATGCTGATGAAACATCAAAGACATGCAGTAATTGTCCAGATGGGTGCTCTAGTTGTACTAGTTATACTAATTGTACTGGTTGTAAAACTGGTTATACTTCGAGTTCAGGAGCGTGTTCTGATTCTTCATGCACTGGTAATTGCGCTACATGCAGCAGCTCTAGTAAATCTAGTTGCCTTTCTTGCACATCAAATCTTTATCTTTAACCAGGAAATACTTGTAACTCTACATGCCCATCAGGTTATTATTAAAATTCATAAAATATGACTTGTACTGCTTGTTCAACTGGATGTAAAGCCTGTTCAGACGGAAAAACTTGTACTTAATGCGATGCATCTAGCGGTTATAGGTAATAAGGTAATTCATGTACTCTTTGTGCTTCAACTTGTGCAACTTGTTCTTCGTCGAATCCCAATTCTTGTTAATCTTGTGAGAATGGTTTATATTTATTTAATAATTAGTGTGTAGTAACCTGCTAAAAAGGATATTTTAATGGACCTAATTACACTTGCTCACCATGTGTAACTGGATGTGATTAATGTTCAAATGGAAATTCATGTACTACTTGCAGCACTGATTATTAGCCCTTCACATATAAAAACCAACAGATTTGTATAAATTCCTCCTCTTGCTTTTCTCCTTGTTCCACTTGTAGTGGTACTTTCTAGCCTACAACATGTGCAACATGTAATCAATCATTCTATTTACAAGGTACAAATTGTGTAGCTACATGTAACTAAGGATATTATGCCAACTAATCTAATTAAACATGTGTTTAATGTCCAGCAAATTGTTCTGGTATGTTCTGATGCCTCAACATGCACATCTTGTTCAAATAACTATGTAATTAATTATATTATATTTCTTAAAAACAAACTAATCTTATTAAATAAATTTTTATTTTAATTAGTTCTTATCCGAAAAAAGTTGTGTTTAAACATGCCCTCAAGGATAGACTGGTAATAATAGTTAAGTATGCATCTCAGCAACTATTAAAACGTT